AGTATCACTTGAACCCAGAAGGCAGAGGTGGCAGTGAGCCGAGATCATGCCACTGCACTCCAGCCTGGGGGACAGAACAAGACTCTGTCACAAACAAACAAACAAATCCAGCACGTATATATATAGTCATCCTCCCTTCTCTGCAGTTTCACTTTTTGCAGTTTCACCTTCTGTCAACCTCAGTCTGAAAAGATGACAGTATTCTGAGAGAGAGAGCAAGAGGCCACGTTCACATAACTTTTATTCTAGTATATTGTTATAACTATTTTGTTAGTATTGTTAATCTCTTACTGTGCCTTATTTATAAATTAAACTTTATTAAAGATATGTATGTACAGGGAAAAATAGCCTATAGAGGGTTCGGTACTATCTGTAGTTTCAGGTATCCACTGAGATTCTTGGAATATATTTTCCTTGAATAAGGGGAGGGTACTATGTGTATATGTGTGTATACTTAAATATATCTATGTAAATCTATATATGTGTGTATATATGTAGTGACATAAGAATAATATTAATATCTTCATATTTTACCAGAATATTAAAAGCATGGATGCAATAACTCAATAACTACAGGATTTTAAAGAGGAAATTCTATCTCATCTACTTTATATCTAGGTAAGATATCAACATATGTGCAGTCAACAAAACATACTGCCAAATAATTAAAGGGTTTGAACTACTACATATAATCCTAATAAACTGCCAGGAAAAGTACTGTAGTTTCCCAGTAAGTTAGTTAAGATTTCTTTTAAAAAAGATAGTGTAGCAAAGAAATGACATATTAAATTAGCATATATAAATCAATCATTTTCATCTATGTAAACAATAAAAAGTTAGTATATATATAGGAAGAAAAGACCACGTATAGTAATAACACATAATAAAATAACCCAAATAAGCTTAGTAAGAAATGTGCAAAGTCTATATTTTAAAAACTTTGAAGTACTCCTGAAACACCACATAGCAAAATTGAAGACAGGAAAAGATGAGTGTATTCTTGACTAGAAGACTCAACTCTGTAACTGAGCTTGGGATTACAGTAAGGAGTAGGTTTGAGAAGTGGAAAAACCGGGGTTCCATTTTGGTTGTGTTGAGTTTAACCTTTCAGGGGAGAGGCCTTAGGCACTGGAGAAGTGAGTGTGGAGCACTGCGGAGAGGTCAGTATGAAAGTTATGAATTGGAGCGTTTCAACATATGTCACTTAGCAACAGCGTGTAGATACAGAAAGGAGAGGAACCTAGAAGAGAAACCTGAACCTTCCAACATTTACGGATTAGCTGAGAGTGAAAAGTCACCACAGAAGACTGAGACCAAACCAAATGGCCAGTGAAAAAGAAGGAAGAGTGTGAATGTGATATTCTGGAAGCAAAGGACAATCAACTTGTCCAAGAGGGAATATTCATTCTATATTCCCAGTGCCTGGCCCATGGTAAGAACTCAATAAATATTTGCTAGATGAATGAAAGTCTGAAAGAAGAAATGGAATTTTCCTAGAAAGACGTATTTTGTAAAAATGTACTCACAAAGTAGAAGAAAAACATTTCAGACTAATTCTGTATATGTGTATTACACATACATGTAAACTAAGAAAAATCCTAAATTTTAACAAAAGGTTCAAATCCATCTGTATTTTAAAATAATAACAAAGTATGACTGCAAGTCTGATGGTACCGAAACCTCTGGTAAAATATTCAGCCCAATGTGCCCTGGATTGCTGTAACAGAAATGAGTTATTAAGTGCTCATTGATAAAATACGGAACCCTAAGTGTGCAAATAAATAGACTCATTGGTCTTAAGTATGGTCCTGAAGATCATTCAACCTTCTCCTCCTGTCTCCAAATGGGCCATCAGAACCTGCTCCCATACCCAGAATTAGTCTCTTCTTCCATCTTGCCACAAAACCCTCTTTCAGCAAATTACTGACTTCTAGAACATCAAACGATCCCTAGAGATCTTCAAATGACCACTTGGCTACCAAACAGCACGCAAGACAGAAACTAGGCATGGGTTTCCTTCTTATTTTTAAAAATCTTCAGGGAGTTTTTGATAGAGTTAAAACTAGACTTAGCATTATAACTACTTAGTCTCCCTTCATGACCAGTTTCAAAAGATATGATTGCTTTCACATAGGCAGCCGTCAAAGTAACTTTCATAATATCAGCTACATTATTAACCACATCAAATTGCAATCAGAATAGCCACCAGATTGATTCATTTTCCATGTGCACAATCTGTTACATATTCAGAACAATCATTAATGTTTCTTAACTCTTCTTGAAAACAGTACAGAGCCTTGGATTTTGTCTAGGGTGAATTACTTCATTCAAAAAAACAAACCAACAAATCAGAAACTAATTTTTCAGCCTGTCATAAATATGACTAAAGAACATGTATGTTCCTTCCTGGATACATTTGGCTTTATCTCTTCATAACACCTTCTAACGAATCTTAAAAACTTCCTCAAAGTGTTGAGCAAGCAAATAAAATCAGTTTTCCATACACATTATACCTAAAATGAGATCCTACATGTAAATTATAAACAATGATTGTTTCTTACTAGCTTATGATATCTGTGAAGACGTTTTCTGTTTCTTAGATTTTTACTGAACTACACCTTCAGGTTTGTTTGCTTGTTTTGAGACCGAGTCATGCTCTGTCGCCCAGGCTGGAGTGCAGTGGTACGATCTTGGCTCACTGCAACATCCACCTCCTGGCTTCAGGTGATTCTTCTGTCTCAGCCTCCCAAGTAACTGGGATTACAGGCACGTGCCACCACACCCAACTCATTTTTGTATTTTCAGTAGAGATGGGGTTTCACCATATTGGCCAGGCTGGTCTTGAACTCTTGAGCTCGTGATCCACCCACCTCAGCCTCCCAAACTGCTGGGATTATAGGCGTGAGCCACCGCATCCGACCCAGTCTTTACCTTACAGAAATAATAACTCTTTTAAATCTACTTCACCTCTGACCCTTAATAGTCTTTGCCAATCAGTAGTTTCCTGATTAGCCATGACTGTGTCAATCCATTTTTTAGCACTGGGATTATTTGTCTGGTCCTACAGTTTTAAAAAAACAGGCATGCCACTGAGGTGAGGCTGAAACGTGAACTTGGTAAGACTGTAGCTTCCTTTCCTATTAATTATCTCCCCTTTTCACCTGGTGATAATATGATGCTGGCAATAGCTGCTTTATCTTTACTTAATTGTTTTAATACCATTTGACCCGCAAAAATGAGTATTTTAAAAGCTCATGCAGCAAATGAGCTGGGGGTTTACACAGGTCTTTATGGACAGAATTTGAGCTGCATCTTTTGATGGCATTGCTTTATAAAGCTAGTTTAAAATGAGAAAAAATTAAAACCTTGCATCTTCATGTACTGTTAATTCTAAACCATTTTAAGGCGATAATCACCAGAGGCAGGAACCAGAGCCATGCAAAGTTCTTCTCTATA